TATATATATATATATATATATATATATATATATGCATGTATGTATATATATATGTATGTATATATATGTATATATTAATCCAACGTCATTGTGATGCTAAAATGTTACACGGACGTTGAGGTGGATCATAATAATATGAATATTTTTTTGGTCTATTCTCGCAATGTCAATAATTTTTTAGAAAGTCTTAGCTCCAGCTATTGATTAGTTAAATCTACAAAGTATGTAAGAAAATACAGATGTTTAAAAATGTCTCGGGTCATTATGATCCAGCCACAATGACAACGCGTTAAATAGCTCTGAAGAAAAGGAGATTGACTTTAAATAATCCACAAAATTAAAATGCAATTAAAAAGTAACAGATTATGTAATTTCAATGAAATAGAAATTAAATATAAAAAAAGATTGCTATTACAGTATAATTAGCATCTTTATTTTCTAATTAAAAGGATCCTTATTTTCTTAATTATATTCTGAATTTATACGTCTACAATCATCGATTTCTTAAATCATTTATATAGAACTAAAAATTATCGCGTAAAGTGATCGTAATTTGAAGTCTCCATTACCATGGAAATTCAGATAAACATGATGACCTTGCAAGGAACGTAGATATAGCCACACACATACGTATGTAACGTGTGAGATCGCGATCGCGCGATCTTTCACATTATCGTACGATTTGCCAGAGTGCACTTATTAAAAGACAAAGAGAAAGAGAGAGAGAGAGAGAGAGAGAGAGAGAGAGAAGGCTCTCGGTGGTGCACATTTCCTCATGACATAATGCATTCAGACAGGTGTCTAAGGTCGGCAGGTCATGAGCGATCGCGTAAGTGAGAGCGAACGCTCTCTCTCTCTCTCTTTCTCTTCTTTCCTAGAGGAGAGGGAGGAAGGCGGAAAGAAAAGGAGTAACATACCGGCTATGACTCCTTTGAGGCCCAGGTTGCCAGAGGCAGCGGCGGCGGCGGCGACGCCAGTCTCGCTCATCCATGGTCTGCGTGGAAACGGCAACGGGCCGCGGCACGCGCTCGCCAACGATCGCTGTTGTTGTTGCTTCGTCAGATCCATGCTTGGCACACCAAAGCTGTGAACGTGCTCCAAACGCTGCCGCCGCTCATCCACCTACGCCGCTGGACACTGCCGAAGCTGGACTGCCGTCAATTGACACTCATGTGTGCGATGAGCGCGTAACGCACTGGTTTCCCCCATATTTTTCCCCTTCCGTAAACGATAGACAACGTTGCCTCATTTAACGTTGCTATACCTTGTCTTGTCTTACTTTGCTGAGTTCATTATGCATAGATGTACTATGTGCACACACATACAGGATGGTACCGGAAACTAAAGGGCTCTGTTGAATTAACTGTGCTTGCCTGCACCTTTCTCCTTTCTTTCTACTACCTCGCTTCTCTTTTTCTCTGTACTTAAAATGAAATAAAATAAATAGTTATGCTTTGAACACGAAGCATGAAAAAAAAAATATAGAAAATATAAAGACAGACCTCAGATTACATATTTGCTGTTAATATTTTCCATAAGAATTTACAAAAATTAATCTGTAAATTATAATCAGAGATTAATCTGTTTTTCTTATAATATTATGGATTATTATATGTTAATATATTGTCTAGAATAATTTGTAGAATATTACATATTCTACATAATACATATTCTTTCGGAAAAATCAACTTCTCCGAAAATTTGATTCTAAAGAATATTTCAGATAAAAATTACGAGGAATTGTGATGACATTTCTTAAAATAAAAGTCAAATGTATGTATATACAGGATGTTTGATAAGTAACGATAACTCTCACATAGGAGTAGAGTAGATTAAACTAAGTCGCGAAAACCATTTTGCAAATTTCGCAATAGTTAATAAGACATTAATTATTAAAAATCATCGAATATTAGTTTTCAATAATTTTGTACTCAAGTACTATCAACTTTACAGAAAAACAGCAAGAGACAAAAATTGTTTATTTTATTCTCATAGAGCTCTAAGAATTTTTTCAGAATTTTTTATCAACTTTTTAGTATCGCATTTTTTCATTGGCAACTATTTTTATCAATATGAGAAAATGCAGTACTAAAACATTCTGAAAAAATTTTCAAAACTCTATAAGAAGAAAATAAACAATTTTTGTTACTTACCGTTTTTTTGCAAAGTTTATAGTACTTGAATAAAAAATTATTGAAAATCAATATTCAGCGATTTTTAATAATTAATATCTTGTTAACTATTGTAAAAATTATAAAATGGTAGAGAACTTTTCGACTTAGTTTAGTCCATTCTATTCCTAGAGAGTTTTATTATTACTTATCAAACACTGTATATATAGATTATCACAGAATCGTACGAGGACTTGAGAATGCAATTGAAAAGGCACTCATCGATAGTTCACTGTCAATACAACGATCGGCCTACTTTAAAATAATTGTTAAAACTTTTTTTAATCAAATATATCTATGTCTGTGAAAAAAGAATTAGGTATTAAATTATATTTTAAAAATAAGAAAGCGAGTAAAAGTTGGAATTGCCATAAAAAACATCTTGATGAGGGCACCAATTAGATTTGTTGCGATCCTATCATCGGCGAGTTCACAATCCAGGGCTAAATACAGGAGTGCTTCGTCATGGAATCAATCACCTTTATCTAAATTCTTCAGAGAGTAGAGCATTGTATTACATTTTACATTTTACACAAAAGTAGAAAAAAAGATATAATGAAGTAAAGTAATTAATTTACATTCCAATATACATTCACCAAAGATAAATCTTAAAGCGTAATTGTCTTTTCCTTCAAGATTTCCTTTTACATTCAATCCAGTCAGGCAGTATAATGAGATGTTGATCCGCGTGAGTAACAAGATGCCAAAATTTTAAATAATTTTCGAGACATGTGCTTTGCGATAAGCATTTATCATGAATGAGTATAATCACGTGATCTATTATCTCGTCGTACGATTGCTGACTAAAACAGATAATTGCAATAGATTTTATAATATATATTCCGATAGATTTAAAATAAAATATTAAAGATATATTTAATATAGTATATAATTTTCTTAAAACAATTTTAGTTGTATTTCTTACTGTTCAGGTGTTGCATCACAGTCAGCTGTCATTACACTTTAATTGAAGTGTTATATGATATGTACGTACATTTTCAATCACACTATATGCACGTACGATATAAAAGTTTTCTTTCACACAATAATACACAAAATTGACCGTTAATAAATTAAATTGGAAAAAAAGATTTTTAAATTATACAAAAATGGAAAAAAGTAGATTCTAAATTGAAGAATGACTCGTTAGATCTGGAATACCCTGTATATAAGAATGTTTCATAAACAATGATGTCTGATTATACAGTTACATTCTTTTTTAAATAAACGCAACTATTCGTTATTTTTACAAATAATTACTTCCGCATATTTTATATTCTATGATGATATCTTAATAAAAATTATATCATTACTTATAAATCTTATATGAGGGGATACTAAAAATTAGGATGATAGATTGGTTGAAAAATGTAGATGTGAGTATGGAGTGTTCTTTTTCTAGATGTGCTTTTTCTACCAACCAGGGGTCGTGTTTGCTAAACGTCGCATACGTCTGAAAGAAAACAAGAAAAAAAACAATCAAATGCCTACATCTTCGTAATAAAGTTAACGTATATCTCTATAAAATTCACGTCTTACCGAGTATTTCGATCTTGATCGCGTATCTTCTTTTCCATCTCTGCATCTGTTAAGGTTTCTAAAAACGGTGCCCATTGATCAGCCTCTGATGGAGGTCTAAAGGGAACTTCTACGGTCGGTAGAGGTGCTTCAGAAAATGCATACGTTCTTTGATGCCATGATAATTGTCCACGTACACTGTCAATAAATATATCACTGTCAATAATCATATTACTAGAATAATAATCAATATCAATTAAACATATAACACCAATTTATTAAATATCTATTAATTTATAATAATTTTTTATTATCGAACTCATATTTTCAATATCCAAAATAATATTTCAATAATTATTAGGTGTTGGAATTAATTCGTAGCATTTTTAATGAAAGAATGTTATTTATTTCACATGAGCATTAAAAAATACATTAATGAAAGTACTTCCCATCACTTGTAAAACGCTACGAATTAATTCCAACACCTAATAAATTATCAATTTTGTTTTTGTAATGAATTTTAATAGTGAATTCTAATGAATTTAATAATGTCGCTAACAAAAATAATTATTTTGCATGAAGCAAGGGCACAATTATGCTGTTGTAGAATAAGAGTATTTTACCTATATGCGATAGCGGTAACAAATTCGCCACCGAGACCAAGTTCCGCGCAAAGCTTCATCGCAAACTTCTCTGGATTATTCTCCTTCTCAGACATATCCCATTCTACTTGATCTACTAGAGAAGTATTACCCACATGTATATTTAATTTAATTATTACTCTCTGATCACATTGATCTTCTAAAATTGTCTCTTGAGGGAATGCTTCTATTTGCTGTCTTATTGCTTGTGCAATTGCAGGAACAAAGGTTAATGGATTTAAGTCTAAATCATCGCATAGTACTTCAGCAAATTGTTCAGGTGTTATAAGACTTTCTATAAAAGATACAAGATGCATTAAATTGTTGTTGTAATTTATCAAGATTCTTGTTATTGGATACAAAAATATATACCATTTTTATTCCAAGTAAAAGTGTCTCTTAATTTTTGACCTTCAATTTCCATGTCTAAACGTATTGGAACCAGCATTTCCTGTTGCGCGGCGTTCTCTAAATTTGCCGATGGATCTGTATCATCAAAACTAAATTGGAAGTAAAATATGAGTCATAATTTTATTACGCAACAGAATTTCATGTAGAATTTCACTGTGCTTTCTTGCTTACCATAATGGGAATGTCCTAACTTTTTTATTGTGCACTCTGTTTCGATTTATTGGTGTAGCTTGAGGAACTGCATCCAGATGTGAACTATTTGGTAGGCTAGGTACCCATGCCATCGATTTCTTGGATTTACCCTCTCTAGGTGCTGGTGGTTCAGTCGAATGTACGGATACAGCTTTATATTTATCATCATTGCCCTCGATAATATCTTCCACCTCGCTAGCTCTCAACAATGAAACACTAGATGCAAGAACGTGCTGACTCAGCCCAAGTTCCACTAATTTCTTACGTTCGTCATTGGTTATGGATCTTCTGAACATGCCAGGATATCTCTTATACAAAGACCCACGAAAAAGACGCAGGTAATTACCAACTTCTGACCCAATACAGTAATACTCTCCATTTTCCTCCACTTGAAAACTTATAGGTTTATCTCCATAGGTGCGTAATGCCATTTTGAAGACTAATTTCACTGCAATTAGTAACCATAGATTGAATAGGTATTTACAAAAGTATAAGATGATTAATGCATTGAGGATTATTATATAATTATGCAGAAACAAAAAATGTACTTCATGAATAAGATCCAGTCTACAACAGATATAATAAGCCTTGAACTCTAACTCTAAGTTGTGATTATAATTTGCTCCAAGTTCTAAACTGTACAACTATAACCTAAATTTGCTTAAAATTTAAAATTATGTTTCAAGGCAATGATTTTTGTCGAAAAAAATCAAAATTTAGAATTTAGAACCAAAAGCTTAAGACTTGTACACTGCTGTAAACAAGGTAATTAGTAATTCTACGAAACACTTGACGAAGCTTCCACTAGCATAATTCATTCACCAAGTTTATCTAGATTCTATTTTTCTCTTAATATTTTCAATGCTAAACTCATAAAAATTAACGTAGCGATAAAATATTCATTAGAGCCGATATAAAATGGACAATGTCGACAACGCTATATGCATTATCGAAATAGACACTTTCGGATAATCTTGGAGATTATGAGTTCTCTCTGACGTACCTGATAACAGAAATAATTCATTCACTCGGGTTTACAAGCTCTCATAAACCTTTTCTCCTTTCGCACGTTTGTTTACGTTTCCTTGAAAACAGATCAGATACACGGCATCCACAGACGGATATCAAGTTTAATTTTTTTTCTTATGTTCTTAGATTAACGAACATGAAAAAAAGTGCAACACTGTAGACGTGATCGCGCGTTGTGATTCGTCGAATTGATGGACCTAAAAGCAAACTTACAGTACTACACCAATCAAATTTGAGTATCGTGTAACCAACCAGTCTGTCCTTTTTTTTAAGATTTTTTCATATTATTTTGCTTAAAATATTTCAATATTTTTAATCAAAAATTTAATTTTTGAAACAATGATAAATATATAATTATTTACAATTATAAACTTATAAAATTATTATATTGTATTTAAATAGTTATACTTGTTTTAAGGTTAATGATGGCTGGCTAAAGGTAGATTTTCATGTATTCTGTCAAGTGGGGATAATTGAAGGACAATGATGTTATCGATCGATACAGCCAAAATGATCAGTAATGTCATCATTTTTCAATTATCCCCCGACCTACTTGAGAAATGAGAAACTTACCCTTAGTCGCATTTATTCTATGCTTTAAGTAATTCTACCGATTAAAATTAATAGTAATTAATAATCGAAGTGGATTTTTAACTACGGCTCGGCGCTGATTTGAGATAACGGACTTAACGCCGAGCACACACGTGCATTCCACGAGTGGAAATGACCAATCAGAGCCAAGTCACTTATCGATAACTGGAGGCGGCGGCCTCCTCTCCCCCACATGTGCGCTAATGCGCGCCAGGCCTGCGTGGCCACTGATAGCCGTGTGTTGCAGCGAAGTGTCACGAAGGTGCCCCCGGTGTATCGCACTTAGCAGAAGCGCAAAGTTGCCCGGGGGGCGGACGGCGTCATCCGTCTGAGTTCGCGGATAAAACGATTCGTTCTCGACTGTTCTCGCCCCTTCTCCCCGCCGCCGCCAGTCGCTGTTAAATAGACAGGTAATTAATGAGGCGACGACGCGAGAGCAGCTGCAACGGCGGCCCCGCTCCAGATGCAACCGTTCGAGATTCTACGTAATGTTTCTTTTTATTCCGCTCTATTATGACGTGCGCGCGCGCCACGCCACTCGCTTATCGCCCCTCGGTGATAATCTATTTCTCCCCGGCATCCCCGCGCCTGGGTTTCCCAAGCGTTCCTTGTTAAATGACAGATTCGTTGGCGGGGGAGTTAGCGCTACGACACCATAGATTCTGGACATTGATCCAGTCCCGGGTTCACTATATAGCGAAATCTTATTTAATTTCACTACGTGTCTCTCTCGTTTCTCTTCTCTCTCTTTCCAGTGTACAGAAGTCTATTCTTGCTCTTCCATAGATTTCTCGGCTGGCGAAAATTTGGATATTTCTATACACATCAATTTCTCAACTTTGACTTTATTATTGTTAGTATCAGTTTGGTGTTATTAAATTAAATTGTAATTACGTTTTGAGATAAATTAACATTTAATTTTGTAAAACAAACAAGATTTGTATAATAATTACTGGTAAAATAATTATTTCTTTTATTATTATATAAATAATATAAGGAATTGTTTATTGTTAAATTGATAGAAAATAGATGAGAGTTTTATCAATTTTGTACATATTTGCATAAGTGGCATTACAGATTTTATATCTTCTGAGATTATATAATTATATTTGTTACATACATTACAGACAAGATGACGGATTCAAAGTATTTTACCACTACGAAGAAGGGAGAGATATTTGAGCTCAAGTCAGAACTAAACAATGAGAAGAAAGAAAAGAAAAAGGAAGCTGTGAAGAAGGTAAATAAAAAATTTGTTATTATAATTGTCTTGTTTTCACAAGAAATACTCTAATGTTATGCAATAAGCATTTTCATGCAGAACACTTGCATAGAAGGTAATACATTTGGATAATGAGGTAAGTTGCAAAATCTAAGGTGAAGGAACTCTAGTATTGATAATTTCAATGACTTCTTTCTACAAGAATATTTCTTGTATGTATAATACTCTTCTTATCTTATAATTATTATATTTTATTTTATAATTATTTAATAAGCCTCTGATACATCAGTAATATTGTCCTGAATTTATCAATATATTAAGAATATGTTTATTATCTGTGTGTTTGCATATAATGAGAAACATTTGTTGTATGTTAATTAAAAAAAAAATCATTAAAAAAGCAATGCATCAGCATGTAGTCTAGCGAGTTGTACTTGTCTTCAACACTATGCTTCTTACACTAGTGAAGTATTTGGTATAGAACAATTGGTATAGAACAAAAATTACATGAACAATAAATAATATATAATGTAGAACATATAATAACAATTAAACGCTTCCTTTTAGAAAATAATATCATAGAGAATGTGAAATTAATTGATTTTAATAGTAATGAAAATGTAATAGATTTGTATTTGTTGAGAATGTTACATTTGCAGTATCACCTATGTTATAATAATGTTGCACTGTTTAATAACGCAAGGGTATCAATTGTTTGTCCAGGTCATTGCTTCCATGACAGTAGGAAAAGATGTGTCTGCACTGTTTCCTGATGTGGTGAATTGCATGCAGACCGACAATCTGGAACTGAAAAAGCTGGTATACCTGTACCTGATGAACTACGCCAAGAGCCAACCGGACATGGCTATCATGGCAGTCAACACGTTCGTCAAGGTAACGTAGCTTAGAAACTCATCATTCAATTCGTCATCACGATTTTAATATATAACGCACCTTTACCCTCTACATATTTTTTAATGACACTTGGATGATGTTCGGAATCTGTCTGTAACGAGAGGCAAATTAGAAAATTATCCGTCGTTATGTATTCTCTATAACGACTGTCAGATTGTAAATATAATCTCCTTTATCGGATATCATCCTAGCTGTGTTACATTTTACAGCGTGCCTCACACTGAATACAGACTGTGCTTTGCAAATAACAGTTTGCACAGAGCTGTCTGCATTATAGGACGGAATGTAACTTTTTCCTTCATTGCGACTGAATTGTTTATTTTTCAAAGGGCACGGATTTGGATTTTGGTTGTTCCAATATTCCATTTTTTAGTAGCAAAAGAGGCTATTAAATTACTCGTTACAAATGTCGTTACAGAACCAAATTCCAGAATGTACTTCGTTAGGCAGACCATTATATTAATCTAATACATGATTAAGTTTATCGAAATTAGTAGAGTAATTTAAAATCTCATTATCCTCCTCACGCTAATGCATTGATACATATGTCTTGTTTTCTCAAAATTGAGCATGTAACTTTCTTTCGAAAAGTCACACAATTTTTCATCTACATACGAAATGCTTGAAGCAAATTGTTCATTCTTCACAGTGCCGTTTATTTACAATATAAATATACGATATAAATTGATTCTTGTATTGCAGTTATAATATCGTTTCAAATCGATATAATAGTTCGAACATTAATCTTGGTTAATCTTTTACTCGTGAATTTCTAATGTGCAGCAGCATGAAAATTGTAGTTCCTTAAATGTTCATTTTATACATATTTGTGTATTACCAATCAGTGCTTCTATAAAGATGATATTTACTAATTGCACGCATTTTGTATCATATATACATACATTTATATATATATATATATATATATATACATATATATATTATTTAATAATATATTTTATATTTATAAAATTTCAGTGTATCTGATGAATGTAATTCTCGTGTTACAAATAATACTTCATAATGCGATTAATATAAATATTTGTAAATATATTTTTCTATATATATGTTGGACGATACACCATTTATCTCTATTTGCATGGTGCTAATATTGATGTAACACAATTCTTAATTCTTTATTCGCAAAATTGTGCCACAACGATTGTTGAAAGAAAAAGAAAGAAAAAAAGACACTAACGAAAGAATGATACCTCGTGCTCTTTAAAAAATGATCAGTTCTCGATTACACACTACTTTAAATGGCTGATAAGTATAATATTTAACACTTAATGAAAAATGGTGACGGTGACCAATTTGACCTTTTTCGTTCTGACACGCAAAAGGAGCTAGCGACATCTCCGATGACAAAGGTACCAATGCCACTTTCTACTTTGTTAAAGTTCATGGGTTGAGATAGATAGCCACTACTGTGACTAGACTTGAATCCCTGGCTTGCCCGATTTTTGCGCAGGACTGCGAGGACCCAAATCCGCTGATTCGCGCTCTGGCAGTTCGCACGATGGGCTGTATACGTGTTGACAAGATAACCGAGTATCTGTGCGAGCCGCTGCGCAAATGCCTGAAGGATGAGGACCCGTATGTACGCAAGACCGCAGCCGTGTGCGTCGCCAAACTTTATGACATTAACGCGGCCTTAGTCGAGGACCAGGGATTCCTGGATCAATTGAAGGATCTCCTGTCCGACAGCAATCCAATGGTATGTAAGCTTTCCCAATGTCAGAACTTGATAATTTAAATAATACAATAGACGTTTTAAAATGTTATTCTATTTATACACATATTTAATAAAATATTGTTAGAAATGGTATAATAAAGCAAAAGGAATTTGTTAAGCAGAAAAGATTAAAATTCATTGTTATCTAAAGATAACAGTTCTGTGGATAATATATGTTAATTAATTAATGTTGTTATTAGGTTGTCGCAAACGCGGTAGCTGCTCTGTCTGAGATCAACGAGGCCAGTCCGAGCGGTCAACCGTTGGTAGAAATGAATGCACAGACCATAAACAAACTTCTGACGGCGCTTAACGAATGTACGGAATGGGGCCAAGTTTTCATCCTGGATTCATTAGCGAATTACTCGCCCAAGGATGATCGCGAAGCGCAAAGCATTTGCGAACGGATCACTCCGCGTTTGGCGCATGCTAACGCTGCAGTCGTGCTTTCTGCCGTCAAAGTAAATAATAAATACAGGAGAAGAACTTGATTAATCCTATCTTATATAATTTATTAAAATTTTTATACATTAGCATCAACATCTAAGCGCTAACAAGATTAGATTGATCATAATTTCTTCTCCTGAATCCTTTATTTTTAAAACTTTTTTACTTGATTTTATATATTAATCAAATTTATTTCGATATTTTAGGTATTAATGAAATTAATGGAGATGTTGCAGTCCGAATCGGATTTTGTCGGCACACTTACAAAGAAATTGGCGCCTCCTCTTGTTACGTTATTGAGCTCCGAACCGGAAGTTCAATATGTTGCATTGAGAAATATCAATCTCATCGTGCAAAAACGACCAGATATTCTAAAACACGAGATGAAAGTATTCTTCGTCAAGTATAACGATCCTATTTATGTAAAATTGGAGAAGTTGGACATTATGATTCGTTTAGCGTCACAGGCCAACATCGCGCAAGTCCTGTCGGAATTAAAGGAATATGCTACCGAGGTCGACGTGGACTTCGTAAGGAAGGCTGTGCGGGCCATCGGTCGCTGCGCTATAAAAGTCGAGCCGTCTGCAGAACGTTGCGTCTCCACGTTACTGGACCTGATACAAACAAAAGTAAGTAAAGATATCACAGACATCTTAAAATATCAAATTTTTAAGTATATATCTTATATTTTAATATATTTTTATATTTTAAATATTTTAATACTTTAATATATAATATTAAAGTTTAATATATTAAAATTAGTCGGTTATTGATTAATTGATATCTTTAATTTTTCTCAGGTGAATTACGTTGTTCAAGAAGCAATTGTAGTAATAAAAGACATCTTCCGCAAGTATCCTAACAAATACGAAAGCATAATTTCGACTCTATGCGAGAATTTAGACACACTAGATGAGCCTGAAGCGCGTGCCTCCATGATATGGATTATCGGAGAGTACGCAGAACGCATCGACAATGCTGATGAATTGCTGGAAAGCTTCCTGGAAGGTTTCCATGACGAGAACACACAAGTACAGCTGCAATTGCTCACCGCAATTGTCAAATTGTTTCTCAAGAGGCCCACGGATACGCAGGAGTTGGTTCAACAAGTGCTCAGCCTGGCCACGCAGGATTCTGACAATCCCGATCTACGAGACCGCGGTTTCATCTACTGGCGATTACTGAGTACTGATCCAGCAGCGGCTAAAGAGGTAGTGCTTGCAGAAAAGCCTCTAATCTCAGAAGAGACGGATCTGCTGGAACCAACATTATTGGATGAATTGATTTGCCATATCTCGAGCTTAGCATCCGTATATCACAAACCTCCTACTGCGTTTGTAGAAGGTAGAGCAGCTGGCGCCAGGAAGTCACTGCCCGCTAGAAGCAACTCAAATGAGGAATCTAACCGGACAACTGCACAACCCCATGCACAGGTCATACCCGCTCAGGATTCCCTGATCGGCGACCTCCTCAGTATGGACATCGGTGAGCGAACCTAAATTTAAAATTAGAAAATTAAAATATATAATAATAATATTTAAAAAGTATGTGTTGTGTAAATGCTTTTGTGAAAAATTTTAAACGTATTTTTTTATATAGTTGCAGATAAAAAATATATAACCTATCCTATTTATCCTATTGATCACTTGTTGACTTATTTTGTTGCAGGTGGACCGACAATAGTCACACCGGCACCTGCACCACAGTCTTCGGGACTAGGATTAGATCTTCTAGGCGGTGGCCTCGACGGAATCTTGAACGATAATACGAGTGCACCAGCCGTTTCTCAGAGTACAACGGGTCTGCTCGGCGATATATTCGGCTTCAACCAAGGTCCTACGCCTTACATATCTCCCAAAGTTAATTGGCTACCAGCCGAAAAAGGCAAAGGTTTTGATATTTGGGGCACATTTTCGAGAAAGTAATTAATATAAATATATATTAATGGATACAGAAAACATCTGATTATACATCTCCTCGATTGCAAATAATTATACTATGCAAAATATGTTATAGAAATGGCCAAATTAGCATGGATATGACCTTTACAAATAAAGCAATGCAACCTATGGGAGGGTTCGCGATACAGCTCAACAAAAATAGCTTTGGCTTAACGCCGGCAGCTCCGTTGCAAGTTCCAGCTCCCCTGAGTCCTGGATCAAGTATAGAAGCGAATGTTATATTGTCTACCGCGGGTGCGGTGCAACGTATGGAGCCTTTGAACAATCTGCAAGTTGCTATCAAGAACAATATCGATGTTTTCTACTTCGCGTGCATCGTACCTATGAATGCATACTTCGCGGAAGATGGACAGTTGGACAAAAGAGTGTTTCTTTCTACCTGGAAAGATATACCTGCACAGAATGAGGTATTATCCATCTATTTTTTTCTATGTTTGTCGAAAAATGGTTTTCTGTAAGATTCATTAATAAACGAAAAGAAAAGATTCTTTAAGAAACATATCTTATTTGCAGGTACAATATACGCTAAACGGTGTAATGTTAACCGCAGATCAAGTGGTGCAAAAGATGCAACAGAATAATGTCTTCACAATTGCTAAGAGGAATGTAGAGGGACAGGATATGCTTTATCAGTCTCTCAAGCTGACGAACAATGTCTGGGTATTGAACGAGTTGAAAATTCAGCCGGGCAATCCCGATGTCACGGTACATTTAATACAAGTATCATATTTAAATTTTATCAATATGGTTATAGAAATTAGCAATTAGTTGTTTAAGAAAAGTTTTCTTATTCTCAGATCAAATATAATCTTATCTTGACTTAGTATACATTTTTTTTAATTAATAAAATTATATAAAAAAATTGTTACATAGGATATTTTATACATTTTATATTTACCTTAAATTTTATCAATCTTTTTTTCTTTTATTGCAGCTATCCTTGAAATCTCGGTCCGTAGAAGTCGCTCCTGGAGTATTTCAAGCGTACAATGCGATTTTACATTCTTAAACTTTCTTTCTTTCGTCAATTAGGATATTACTGTAAGATGCAAATTATTAAAAAAAATGCGAACATGCGCAGCAACTTATTTATAGGAGCTATCTATGTACATCCGTATAAGACTCGAGAATATCTTGAAATACAGTACTACAGGAATCTCTGTTACAGATTGAATTTATTATAAAAATGACCACGGGCGTGTATGGAAATAAAGATTTATGATCATGTTTGTGTCCTTATTTATGCGTTTTTTTTTGTATTTTAGATATAAAAGATATAACATGTACATTTTAATCTTAAACAGCCTCTAGACGATCAATATTATTGCACAATATTATTGATTATTTGGAAGCTATATTAAAAAATTAGTTTCCGTTAAATTTATAATCAATTTTTAATATTTTCAAATATCCAATTATAAAATTTTTATTTTAAGTATACTATAAAAAGGATTTCAAGATATCTAATTGAATTTACGTCTTAAAAGAAATCCAATTTAACCCAGGAATACATGGCTAAAAAAATTGTGACGATATAATAATACCGATATAACTATATAGTTTATTAACACAACTTGTGGTAATAAAGAATTCATTTTAAGTCTCTAAAAAAATTCTATAAATCTTTTGCATTTACTGTAGCATATCCTATATGTTACAGATAGGTAATGTCTCACAATGTGAAATAATACTATAATACATAATGTGATTGTGTTTATTTATCGAATATAAAGAGAGAAATCGAATACATATCGGATAAAATTAACACTGGACTTTTCTTCTAAAAGAACATCCCTCAGTTAACCGTGCTTTTCCACCCGTCGGTGTACAAAGTATCGTACGGCATCCGTCACATTCTACTGGCCTCTGGGCATGTGAGAAAATTGTTTTGATAGCATAGCAGCCCGGGCATTTGACATCCATGAAATAACTGTTAGGCTTCTGTACGAGCCTCTTCAATTTGTGTTTCCTTTTCTCCTCGATGGGACTCGGGTGGAGAAAATCTCTAGCCAATGGCATTCTGTAAAATAGATTCAGCTGTCAAAAACTTATATTCGGGGAATAGAATTATAAATCCTTCTATCAGACAGCACTTTCTCGCATTGTATTTAAATACAATTTCTTTTATTACAAGAAAAAAATGTATACATACAATATTATGCAATCTTGTGCGATATATGGTATGACAATAACATTAAGATTGCTTAACAAAAAATTACAAATATAACGCGAGCCCGATTTGTCGAATGCTTTTCCGATACAAATACGACGATCAGAAACGTTAACATCTACCGGATAATTTGTGTAATAATGGGCGATACCGCAACGGGCAAAAGCGCAGTAGCATGCCGCTCACGAAATGAGCGTGAAAAACTATTTTCCGGATTGACTGGGCTCACCACAACACAAACTAATAAAATTTATGCAACAGCGAATAAAGTGGTGCAAATACTTACATGATTCGCAGAGTATTTCGCCTTAAATTCGATAATTACAATCGCACCCACGTGTTTACAGTACAACGTTAAGCACTGGAAAGGAATGGTATAGGATTTGACGCGAAACATTTAAAACCCCAGACCAGAAGAGTCCGTCAGTGTCGCCAACTTCTATTCGTAAAGGCATAGATTTTATTGATTGGGTGATTGGTCAATTGGACTAAATAAATCTGGACAAGTCGTGAAGGCTTTTCACGCAAAGTAAAGACAAATGATGTGACGCATCTTATACAAATCTAATCCTTGATGTTATTATCTGTGGAATGCAAAGTGTATTTTAAAAAATAAATTAAAAATTAAATTAAAAAAAATTTTTGATAAAACTCTAACGGTCTTTTGTAAGAATAACAAATTTTTTTCAATAAATTTCTTTATTTTCTCAATAACATTTATTTAATTTTCTTGTGAAAGATTGAAGGAAAATATTTATAGAGACAAGGCCGTTCAATAGAGAAGAATTGTACTGTGTACTTAAGAAAAAAAAAAAATTTTTAATTAAACAAAGGCATATTATGTCTTCTGTCGAGATAGAATCGAAGAAGAAGAAGAAAGTGCTTATGATTTGCTTAGGTATTATAGAGATATCACATAACTGATAAAACTTAGTGCTTAAACATTTCTGTATATATATATATATATATATATATATATATATATGTATAGATATTTTCTAATAAACATAATAAAAAATATAAATATAGCTATATTTGTGTTATTAATTAATGAATATTTATATTTTATATTACAGGCAATATTTGTCGTTCGCCTATAGCAGAGGCTGTATTTCAGAATGAAGTGAAGAAGAGAGGTTTGCAAGATCAATGGAAGGCAGAAAGCGCTGCCATTATTGGATACCATACAGGTAAAAAACCAGATACTAGGGCCCGGAATACGCTAATGGAAAATGGAATCACTGATTATTCTCATACAGCACGCAAAGTAAGATTTTGTATTTTTAAGAATAAACATTAAAATTTTATTATCACGATTACTGTAATAGCAATTATAGCTTGGATTTTCTATGCACTGAGTAGTTTTATTTATGATTAAATTTTCATGTGAAAAAAGAAAAAATAAATCATTGTAATTAGATAAATTGTAATTATATGAATTATTCAATATTTATTTAGAATCATTGAAACTAATATTATATTGTATTACTACATATCGTTGTATATCTAAATGTCTAATTACATACAGATCGAACTAGACGACTTCGACAAATATGATTGGATATTTGGTATGGATCAGGAAAACATTAAAGATTTACTTAGTAGAAAACCAATGACTTCCCAAGCAAAAGTGGAACTTCTAGGAAGTTATAATCCAAGTGGAATAATTATAATACGAGATCCGTATTATGTATGTCATCTTTTGGCGTTTATAGAATTAGAAAACAAAAATTGAAGATACATTGAATTATTCTGATGATCTTTTTACAGGACAGCGATAGTGCAGGATTTCAGAAAGCCTATGATCAATGTGTAACATGCATAACAGCATTTTTGAACAAACATTCAAGTTAATGAGAAGATTCTAAAGAATCAATTTGCCTACATATTTTTAGAAGAATATGTTCTGAACTAATAGGTACAAAATTTTTAAATATTAAATTTATTACAAAATAAAATGTTTCTAAAGAATATTTTCATATTTAATATAGAGAAATGAATATTGATAACATTATTCATAAGATCATTGTAAACTTATTGATATGTTCTAAGATAATCATATAAGAAAAGGATATGAGAAATGTGTAAATATTAAAAAACTATGTAAATACACGTTCTTTTCTCATTCCAAACTTTTAATTTATATTTTCACAGCAATAATTATGTTTAAAAAATTACATATATTATATAAAGATTAATAAGAATTTTTTTTGTTTAATTTTTTTTTTAGACTAGAATTATTTTTTATTTTCAGCAATAAATATTTTAGTAACAAAGCATTGAATGAATTTCTGAAAGTGTCATTTAAGTTTCTAAAATCTAATGAAGGTTTAAATTTCCTTATTTAATCACACACTTGAAAAATAATTTGCAAATATATGAAGGATTTATCATCTTATTTTATCAAGCTACTGCAGTGGCATATAATATTGTTAGTGTCCTTTGATAGTCCCAGGATACTCCCAATTTTTCTAATTTTCAAAGCTTACTCTTAAGTGATGCAATTTCCCGTCCACTTGTAGCTTTGTAACACATTATAACATGTGAAGGGAGAAGCTTAGCAAGCACATTGGTACGCTTGCCAGGTTGACTCCATCTATGTGTTCTCTATCTATCTTCCTCTATATGTTATAAACGCAAAATTTCTATTAAGATCTATCTTTAGTGGAGACCATTAAAAAAATCACTTTCTTCCTCGCACCTGGTCTGATTAGGTGACAATAGGCGCGTTCAAGTTGATAAAGCGGCTAGCCTGTTCGCCGAGCAAATAATTAGTTGTTACTTATAGATCCAATCAATAATATACAATCGCTCGGTAAGTATGCCTAGTCGCTTTACCGTCTTGAACTCGTCTACTGTCAAACATAATCAGACCGGGTGGCACGAGGAAGAAAGTGGTTTTTAGTTTGATCTCCACTAAAGATATCAATAGAAATTTTCAGTGTACTTTTACTATTTACTATTTACTTACCTATTATAGCAAGAAATCAATATGATGCGAAAGAAGAAAGTTCTCATGGTTTGTTTAGGTATTGTAACTTACTTATTTTTAATTATAAATTAAATTTGTCGAATTGTCATACTTGTTTTAAAATATAGAATAAAGAAATTAAGAATGTGTTCGGGGAGATGCACCCTATTATTCATATTACATTAATACCTTGCGTCATCTTTGTTTTATGTCTATGATGATGGATTGACATAATTAGCGCTAAAAGTGTCTCCCCAAACACACCCTAAGTAATTATTGTTACCCTAACAATTTTTTTTGTAAAAAAAAATACAATTGAAATAAGAACTATATATATTTACTACTAGTTTTTCACTGCAAGTACTGAAAATCAATAATATTCGATAAATTTAATGGGTATGTTCCATTATTCAGTACTCGCACTGAATAATGGAACATACCCACTTTAACACAAATAATTTCTTTAGGGAGAAGCTCCGAGATATTTCACGTAAGGTTATAGTTTTCTATTTTTAAAAGTTATATAATTAATATAATACATGCAACGTATATATAACGTGCCAAATTGAACTATAGCTGAAAGCGGTCTTGGCTTTTCTTACAATGAATCTATGCATTCTATCTAATATGATGATATATGCTATCTAATATGCATTTCAAAGTATTTCAACAATGTTTTAAACTAGAATTTCAATATTTTATTTTAAATCAACATCTTAATTTTTTCATGCAGGGAATAGTTGTCGCTCTCCTATGGCGGAAGCGGTGTTTCAGGATCAAATCCGAAAAATGGATTTGATAGATTTTTGGGAAGTCGAAAGTGCTGCTATTCTGGATTATCATGTAGGCAATGATCCTGAACCTAGAGCGACAGCTACACTTCAGAAAGCTGGAATTACGAATTACTCTCATATTGCAAGAAAAGTAAATATTAAGCTTAATAAACAGTTGAAAGCAGAGACAATAAAAACAGACACTAATAGATTTTAAGATAAGTTGAAATTTGTTATTCCCTGTTTCTATTGCCAATGCTTTTTAATTGTATCTCAAATTTTACAATTCTATTTGATACTTCCTTCTATTTGTCTATCAGTTTTACATAATTGTTGGATAAAAATATTTTCCACAACAATAGATATATAGAGATTTGAGATAGAATTATATCAGGAATAATTTACAGATCACGATCGACGATTTTTACAAATTCGATTGGATATTCGGAATGGACAAATATATTATCGACATATTGTATGAAAAGCAACCGGAAGATAGCCAAGCAAAGATAGAACTACTTGGGAAATACGATCCATCTGGAGTAATTATCATAAAAGATCCTCTCTTTGTATGTATTACTCGAGAGACTTTGGCTACGTTTGATTTCGATAAACTTTATTCTATTTTTATTATTCATTACTTGTAAAAGGAAGATAGAACAAAGCTTACAAGCTCGTGAACGAAACAAAAAAAACACACCCTCTATAAAAATAATTTAACAAGACAATATGTTGTTCTACTGTAGAATTTATGAGTATAATAGCGAGGTTTGTTTGTCGACAGGATGTTGGTAATGCCGGATTTGAGAGAGCATTTCAGCAAGCTTTGAGAAGCGTACGCGCATTCTTGGAAATTCATAAAGTATTTCTCATTTCATCTTTCTAATATTCACATATATATATATATATATTCTAAAAGAGATTGCCCAATTTTACGAATCTCTGTAAAATTAACGAGTTATTAAAAAAAAAATTTGACATCTTATTTCAAATATTCTAAACTTTTATAACTAACTCAAGTTTTCTTTACAGGATAATATGCTCGACAAATCATAATGAAGAAGTTAAAAATTTTTATTTTAGAAATACTAAAAATAAGAAAAGAAATTAGGAATTAAGTTTTACCTAATTTATTCAACTTATACAGGGTGTTCTATAATTCATCCGACAAAATTTGTGAACAGGTAGAACGGACTAAACTGAGACGGAAAGTCTTCTATCATTTTACAATTTTCGCAATAGTTAACGAAATATTAATCTCTAAAGATTATCAAATCTGTATACTGCAGAGTACTTACAAAATAAATGATAAATTATAATAGATTAATATATTCACGAAATAAAGAGATATTAACTTTTCTGAAATCCAATTTCTTTGTGAGCGCAATAATCTATAGACGCGTTCTTTCACAATTCAAAGTAAAACGCTTTCTCTAAACCGCGAACAAAAACCTGAGTAAACGGATCATAATGATTGTTCCGACATAAAAAATTTATAGATTTTTTACATCATAAATTGAGACTAATACATTTTATCGATTAAGATTTGAGTGTATATAAATGTAAAAAGATAATTTTTTTGATTTTTCTAGATTTTTTAATTTGTAATTTCATTTGTAAATTAAAATATATGTATTCGTTCTAAAAAAGTTCCAAAATTTGAACCTTTGAGAAACAAAAAACTAACAAAATAAAAAAACAGCTCAAATTATAAATTAAATAACAAAGAGCTATTATGAGCCAATTAATTATTTTAATAAAATGAATTTCAAATACTTAAAAATAAACATTTCAACCTATATACTAGGTTATTATCATGTAATAGTTATATTTATGTAAAAATGGCACACCGATAGACCAAAAAAATATAACATATGTGACGTAATATTTAACAATTCTCCTGAATTAAAAAATATATACAGATGTAGGCATTAACGATCAAACACACATTTACGAAAAACCATATTTTTTTGTAAGGGAGATTTGTATTTTATTTTATGTATGTATACTATTATATATCCTCTATATTTTCCGACTTGATTACATAGAATATGTACATATTGAACATGAACTAGAACGCATGAATTAGATTTAAGCAATTACATCAAACACTGTAACATCAAACAACTGATACTATCTCATACGATAAATTTGTATATCGGCTTTCTCGGAGAACAGAGGCATTATTCTCCTTTTGAATCGAAGTCTAACGTCAGACATATATATATATATATATATATGTGTAAATCTAATGAAGCATATACTCGTTCAGTGTCGAGCTTCAAGATATCTAGATCATAAAATGCTCCATTTGCAGATTTTGATTTGCGGCAATTGCGTAATTTGTTTCCTTGAATAGAGAAATTTAATTAATAATTAATATCTATATCTCACGTTAGTGAATGTCAACTCGAGCGTAAATTCTTTCTGACTTTTGCTGGCTTCATGAAGGTGCCAGAACGAGATGTGGAGAGAATAAGTTATCAAACATGAAATGTGATAAAACATGCGAATTTTTACACGTTAATTTATTAAACTTTTACATTCTTAACATATAATACATTAAACCAATATATTAAAATACAAATATTAAATTAATACAATCTTAGGAGTGTCCAAGATTTAAAAATCCAATTATTAGTTATTAATTTTTAAATATTAAATTAATGAAATCTTAGAAAGTTTCACAGATTTTCTCTTGTTCTAAGAAATGAAAATATTCATCGAAGCTTGTGAAGTAATTAAAAACTTAGAAATTTATACAGATATAAAATATGAATTATCTAACCCGATAATTAGTACAATTATTCGCTATTAAATGTTACAATTATGCATTAAAAGGAAATTGTGTATTAAGGATGAATTTAAAGGACGTTATTTAATTTGAAGGAAAGGTGGTAAAATCAGCCGTAATTCCTATAAAATCTGATCGCGCTTGTTTTTGAATCGCCGCAGAAAGATTAGGGAAATTTTGCAATAATGTAGATCCAGATAAATGCTAAAATCACGTTATCCTTTTTTAATCAGTTGTTAAAAAAAAGATAACGTGACCTTAATGTTCACTGTATCTGGATAAATGGTATTGTAAAAATTCTCTATTGATTACAGACTGCGGAAACGTAACTTAAATTAGATAGGGATTGAGACGGGAACGAAAAAATAATAATTGCATCGATACACGTTCACGTTAAGAAATGTAATGATGTCATTGAGGCGAGCAATGCAGAATATTTTAGAATAATGAATATAATCGCGATGCAAAAATGTTCATGTACATTAATAATACGCATATCCCGAATAAAAATATTAACCATACGCGTGGATTATTAAATTTCTTATGCCAATTCCACGAATGTAGATTAACTTTAATCTACATTCAACTTAATGACTTGATTATTCATTTTTTTTAATTCTTACAAATAGAAAAAGATAAAGAATATAAGTTGAATCGAGATTAAAATTGATCCACATTGGTAGAAAACAGATTTAAAGTTTAAAATTAAATTTTAAAGTTAAATTTAAAATTATTTCAAGTTATTTTGATTAAGCTGAAATTAATTATATAAAATTATCACAGATCAAGTTTGTTATTGTATAAGGAAAATTCCACGTGATATCATCGTACATCGTAAAGTTGACTGCACAGGCGCATTTGAAAGATCTCCTTATTAACCACGTTTCGTCTATGCATTTGTATGCAATACATTAAGTTATCGAAATTATATCACTCGATAGTTCAAATGTACAATTACTGGACATATAATCCTTCATTCATCGTGTGATTTATACTTGCGATTCGTTTTTAAATTACAGTTCGTTCAGAATTTATCTACTGAAATATGGAATGTGGTTACATCACGTTCCCAACTTCAGATAGATCGCGTCACTTGTACTTTCCATGTGCAAACGTATATCGTCTGTTTATAAATCTCCCTCTCGTAAAAGGGAAAATTTTATAAGACGCACGAAAAGTATCCCTCACAGTTGAACCTTTTATTTTTCCTTTCTCTTTTTCTTCAATGTTCTGTTTGCTTGTTTTGTTTATTTATCCATTTCGTTCTAAATGCAGAAAACATACATATTGCGGTATGAGTACGTGGAGTAAACTCTCTTTTTTCTCTCTCCCACGACTCACACTCTCACAAATAAGTATATTCATGCATTAACGTGGCTACACGTGTACGCGTTGAGTCTGTGAGTGATTTGATTACAGAAACAGAAGGATTCGTTTCACAAGTGTCGAGCCCACAGTCGAGCCCGGTCGAGCCTCTCTCGAGTGAAGTGTGCTGCAATAGGGAATCGCCACGGTGGAGAGTGGGAAATCACTCTCGTGGCGCGATTCGTTCCTCGGATCAGGCTATAAAGTAATGCGCCGGCGAGCGGAACGCACGGAATTAGGGCTCCAAGATACCGCGTGTGGTGCTACACTGCTACATGTTAACGATGGCTGACGAAACATCGAGGGATACGTTGCTGAGTCGTGTGAAGGAGCAGGGCGAATTGGTGCGACGATTAAAGGCCGCAAAGGTTGATAACACGCAGGTATGCGGACTCAACCCTTCAAGACCTTTCCCCTCTTCCTCCGGGGAAATCCCTGATGCGTCGTCTGCCCGTGACAGATGTATCTCCTTTCTCTTATCCTCGGAAGGTGCTCCGCACCTCTCCGCTCCACATCGCGCTTAATTACACCCTGTCATCATGTTACCTTCACTTATTTCCACGAAATCGGCCGCACTCGAAACTGGTCTTTTGGTCTTTTCACCTTAAGCAGCTATCTCAAATGTTTTTGTCTTCCACGTTGCATCATGCTCCCTCTGATTTATGCTTCGATCTCCCCTTCATTACTAGGTAAATGTCAGGTCTGTTGGCTTTAGATGCAACTTCCACGCTCAACTTTCTTTTCATTCTGGAGTCTAACAAAGCACGAAACTGAAGACACTTCTTTTCTAATAAAGAAAATGCATTAAAGCGAACAGATTTTTCGTAACAATGGACATGATGCAATAAGTCCCTGTAATAGCAATTTTTATTGAGACAGGTGCAAAGAATAGATTTCTCTTTTCCTTTTTGTCGCCAATGTTCTAAGCCTTTCTTTAGAGAGACGTCTCGTTTCTCAGGAATACAGAAAGCAGTCTGATATAAACATTGAGTTAGAAGGCTTAAATGGTGATTTTGCGGATATCAGCTATGTTTGTGGTTGGTGTCCAACGTCCAAGGATGCTGAACTGTTCGACATGTTGCGTATCGTCCTTAATGGTGAGCTTGCAAGGTGGCCGCATCTGAACAGATGGCATATTAACATGAAAAGCTTTAGTCGAGAAGAGCATCTAGCATTTCCTGCTGCGGAAACGCCGCTCACTTCCTTAGCAGAAAAAATCGAGCGACTAAAGGGCACTAACTATATTAGCAAAAGTATGCTAGACAAAAAGGTGAGACAGCTGGTTGCTTGCAAGCAGAGCTGTCATAAATTATTGTGAAATTGCCGTGGCTAATATTCAGAAAAAGAAAGCCTAGTTAAGAAACTCAGAAGCTTTTACATGGCAAAAATTAGATGGATGGACCATTTGGAAAATGAATACATGTTTCATTCTGAAAAGTTGAATTTCCTAAAAAATTCCTTTTATTTTCTTCCTAAATTCTGAAAAATTTTAAGACAAAGAAGAGAAAGATTGAAGATAATCAGTCTCTGTTAATTGTAGACTATGGCAATAATTAATGACAGTTTCATACTGGCTTGCTTACTGATATTATCTCTGCTGTTTGAACTAGTTTGATAAATCAAGAGATTGAGGGGGCTTTTCTCTTTCATTCTGGTTGCCTTGTAATTCCTTCATCCATTCATGATGTTACGCCTGATACGCAACAATTCTTTCCCCGTCATATGGAAACGCATTCGCAACGTACTGATGTCCACGACGCCACAGGTGGGTACGACGTTCTCGACTATCGTACCCTGGATATCTGAGAATGAGAGTGATGCCATGTTTCGTATATTAATGATGTATTCATTTGCTTGTTTGTAGATAGCAGAGGAAGTTGCCAAGTTATTGGACCTGAAAGCACAATTAGGAGAGGAGAATGGTTACCCTCATAAACTCATCCTCAAAACGCCAAAAGGCACGAGAGATTATAATCCGGAGCAAATGGCATTGCGATTAGGAGTGTTGGAAAAAATAATATCAGTATTCAAGCGTCATGGCGCTGAGACAATAGATACTCCTGTATTCGAGTTAAAGGTAAGAGTAAACGTATAGATAGTTATAAAAGGTAATATTAATTTCAATTTTTTATTAATATTAATACTGCTCTTGTTATAGGATGTCTTAACAGGTAAATATGGTGAAGACTCCAAGCTTATCTATGATTTGAAGGATCAAGGTGGTGAGATCCTCGCACTTAGATATGATTTGACAGTTCCTTTCGCGAGGTATCTGGCCATGAGCAAGATTTCTTCTATTAAAAGATATCACATCGCCAAGGTCTACCGAAGAGATAACCCAGCTACAACGAAAGGCAGATATAGGGAATTTTATCAATGTGTAAGCATAATATATGTATATTATTATGTTCCAGGAATATTTACATTTTGGCATTGATATTTTGTGCTAATTTAATTTGGTATCTTCAAGGATTTCGATATCGCAGGCCAGTATGATTTAATGCTGCCGGACGTGGAATGTATTCGGGTTGTGTGCGAAGCATTGGAAGCTCTGAATCTGGGACCATATTTAATTAAGGTGAATCATAGATCTTTATTGGACGGTATATTCGCCGCGTGTGGTGTGCCACAGAGTAAATTTCGCAGCATCTGTTCCTCCGTGGATAAGCTGGACAAGAGTCCATGGGAGGAGGTAAAGAAAGAGATGACGGACGAAAAGGGATTGGATGAACATATTGCTGATAAGGTTGGCAAGTACGTCTCGCAATCCGGTGGAGTGGAACTGATAGCCGAGTTGAGAAAAGACAAAGTGCTGATGAAACAGTCTGTCGCTGTGCAAGGTTTAGACTCTATGGAACTGTTGCTAAAGTACTGCGGCATCTACAAAATTCTGGACAAAATTAAGTTTGATTTGAGTCTTGCGAGAGGGCTTGATTACTACACAGGTGTTATTTACGAAGCTATATTGTGTGGTACGGATATTGATTTTTTTCTTTCTAAATTTTCTTCGTATATTACATGACGGAAATAATTTTAACACGAAATAGTTTTGGCAAAGTATAGCGTACATTAATTATTTTTCACAGGAGACGATGTCGGTGTTGGTAGCGTAGCAGGTGGCGGCCGTTATGATAATTTAGTAGGAATGTTCGATAGCAAGAACAAAAATGTACCTTGTGTCGGCGTATCGGTCGGTGTGGAGCGGATATTCAGTGTTATGGAGGCGAAATTAGCGAACAAGGGCCTAAAAACGCGTACTACTGAAATTGAGGTGTTTGTAGCCAGCGCACAAAAGAATCTGCATGAGGAGAGGATGAAGATACTGGTAGATCTGTGGGACGCCGGCGTGAAGGCGGAGCAATCTTACAAGAAGAATGCCAAGCTCTTGGCGCAGCTACAACACTGCGAGGAGAACGGCATCCCGCTGGCAATAATTATCGGGGAAGGCGAATTGGCGAAGGGTGAAGTTACATTGAGAGTCGTCTCGACACGAGAGGAGACTCGCGTGCCACGTAACAACCTCATCGACGAAATACGGAGACAGCTAAAAACATCGTAGCATCCCCTATGCTCAACTTTTCACTGTTGAGAGATCTACATCAGTACAAGAAAATACTTGTACTGCATTTAGTTCCATTTCAATCTGCGTGTCGGAACAGTTTATTTATTAGAAATTCTTTTGCATGAATTTATTTGTATTATTTGTATTATTTCGCATGACGTGCTACGTGAGAAACTTTTTGTCACCGATAGATGCTAACTGTGAAGTTATACGAGTGAATACACGCGAGGAAGTGTAACTACACTTACCACACATGTAAACATATAGGTACAATTTCTACATAAATAATTCTTTAATAATCCGAATTTCTCCGGGTGAAATTTAGAATTTAACCGGATCTTAATTTAACTGGTAATAATTCACAGCTTCGAGTTACAGCTCGAAAAACCAAATACATCTTTATAATTTATTCTGCAAGAACTTGTCAATAAAATATTGTAAATTTCGTAGAACGTGTCTCATTTCTTCTTTTATTATTATACATTTAAATATCGATTTCAAGATTTAGTAGAATAAATATGATTACGCGAGTGACTGTGATAAATGTCTTAAGTCACAAAATCGTAGCTGACAAATTGAACTGCGATACGAAATATTAATCTGCAAATTATTTCGAATGACGTGATTTACGTAGCTTAATAATTTTTCGAATTGGGATCGGATTTTAATTCAATGGATTTCGGATTCAATAGAAAATATTTTTTTCTTTTTAGTCATTTAATTTAATATTTTCATATGATTTACTTATATAATATTTATGTTTTCCAAATAATTTATTTCAGTTTAAATTAAATTGAGGATACATATACCTTACTCATTATATCAGTCTTTTATCAAGTTTAAATTAAAACTAAATAACTTGAATATTTTAATTTACTTACTCCTCTAATAATTATCATTATATTAGCATGCGTTATCTAGTTTCTCATAAAATATACATTTCTCGTTAAAAATGTTACAAATTCGACTAGTCTGAAAAAAATTAGATGTTTTACATATCGATGAAAACAACTTCCACAAAATCAGTCACCTAATTGCTGAATTGTTTTTTTTTCCGTAATTTGCATATCAATGAATGCATTTAAATAAAATTATATTTTTTCTATCTACAGTCTCTTTTAATAAATTACGTATCGTTTTGAAGTAAAACGCGAATTATTTATAATAGTTTTCAAAACGTATAAAATTTTATCTTATTAATAGGATATCATTTCTTGCACAGTAATGTAAAACCGCAAATTTCTAACGGGCAAGATTCTCACACTGATTTCATATGTGTTATTCTTTTTTTATAATTGAGGAAAAACGGATTATTTTTTGCAAAATGTAGAGTCAATCTTTTCCTGATAAAAATATCAAATCAATATGTTTGTAAACATAGTTCGTAAATATCTTTTTGCTAATTTGACTCCAGATTTCTATTTTTAAAATTAAGTAAAATACATAAGTTTCTTTAATTGTTGGACCTTTAACATAATATGAATTTATTTCTTTTTTTACTTTTCACCAGGTTTCTCGATTTTAACTTCTTTTAAGTCCGTATCTACTTCCTTTTGACTAGCCCTTGTCATAGCTCTGTATTGCTCGAATGGATTAATCGTTGGTTTCTCTATCGTCATTTGCAGCGATGGCTTGTACGAGTCTATCGAAACGCTGAGCTTCCCTTTTCTTGATTCTGGAGATTTCCCGCTACTCGTTGAAGCATTTAAATTATCGGTTATGTCAATTATGTGTGTATCATTTTGTTTCTGCTCCATTTTAAGCGAAACTTCTTTAGCATCCACATTCGTCTCTTGCATCCCTCTTTGAAGAGTTCTATCCAGCTCATCATTCAATTTTATTAATTTTTGTTCGAACATAGAGGAAGATAACGGTTTGTAAATCGGTTCACAAACTGGTAGGGAATTCACTTGAGGATATATTTCATCCTTATGCGTGCTTAAAATCATGGACTCATTGAATTCTGTGGGTGGCTCACTGGAAATCTCGAAAATAAAAGGATTAATTGGTGAAATTACGCCTTCCTGATCCTTCCATGATGCAATTTGATTGTCTCTCGAACTTGAAGGAACTACCATGGAATCTTGAAGTTCATTTTTCGAAGTCATATTCATCTCCTCCGCCGGTGACATGATGGTCACTGTTTTCGGGTTGCTTGGTTTGCTAACGTCAACAGTCTTGATGTTATCTATAGCGAGAGGACTGAGAGGAGGAGTGATCTTTTCGCGTTTGTCAGAATGAACATCACTGAGACTGAACGCCCTGGCGCGACGACGTAGATTCATTTGAGTGATCTGCCGCTGAAGCATACCCGCTTTCCATTTGGGTAGCGGTTTAGGCGAAGGTGTGGACATGGTGCTCGTCGGATTCGGTTGCGTGCTGAGTTGAGCAGGTCTTATGGAGAATCGTTGATTATTGGATGGCTGTTGGATCGGCAACGAAATTCCCGGTAGTCCCTCCAAATTCACGAGCGGTTCTTTCGATGATACAGAAATAAAGGGTTCTAATGAAACGGGTTCTTGAAGATGTCGACCATCCATTCTTTGAGAGAGTCGTAGCTGAAAAATAGTTTTGTTTTATAAAATAAGTTTTAAGATTACTTTCATTTATATTAAATTATTAATCACTATACACTATTATTCCTTATATTAAAATTTATTTCAAGATTTTAAATTTATAATAATTGTGAAAATTTTATACTTGTGGAATTTAATAAAAATTTTTTTTTTGGTAAAATTCAAGCTTACCGATAATCGTGGTGACCCTAAATCAGGCGGAGTCGGAGGACTCACTGGAGTCGCGACTGGCCTCAAAGAAAATCTTCTAGGTTTTACAGGGACACTTCCTTTTCTGACATAGGGCGTAGGCGTATTAGAGCCAGAATAATTATCAGTAGACAATTTGAGAGACATTCTCCTATTCGACTGCGCTCCCGTGACAGTATTCTGATTGCTCTGATTTGCCGAAACAGAACCAGGTGCATTTGAGAAGAGGGTAAAAAGACTAGGTAACTTTGGTGGACTCAAACAGGCCGTTCCTAATTTTCTCTTAGGTTTAGTAACATAATCATCGGGAACCGTTCCTACCCGTGCGTGGGTTAATGCTCTAAGAAATTCTGCTAGACTTGTCTCTTCCAGTATATTGTTGTTTTCCAAATAATTTGGCAGGTTGCCACCGGTATGTGTATAGTAATGCGGCCTACTCGAGATCGAATCGTGCCTTTCGTCTAAATACGAGGGTAGTGGACCGATCGAATTATTCTGCTGATTGCTCTTCTCGTTCTCATCTGTTATTTCAATGGTTTTCTCTGTATTAAAACCAACGTCCGACGACCTCTTATTCGCGAATTGTTTTCTCCATTTAGGAAAAAGATTTTTGGACGCGGTAAGTGGCAAAGCGAGCGACGCAAACTTCTTATATGGCTTGTTAGGATTATCCTTGGAAGATATGGTCGTGTCATTATTCTTCATCATCTCTTGCAACTTCGTCGAGGCTACTCCGGACCAGGTCCATTCGGTATTACCTTGAACGGAATCGTCCTTCGTAGTACGCAGTCGTATTTCGCTAGCTGCCCTAGATCGAGGCTTGGAGAATGGGAACTTTTCACCGCCGATTGTCCAGTGAGAGATATTGTTGGCTGGGCCTTGATCAATCGATTTACTATGCTGTGTCTCGTTTTGCGCGTCGGCTTGTTCCTCAGTTTGGTCACATTCAAAGTCATCCCGTGGAGGTATGTAACCGAGGATGTTCACCAAGCGCGCCAAGAGTTCAGCCGGTTGCACTATGGCGTGCGCAGCGAATGTCGCATTCTTGTCTATCCTTTGAAGATCCGTCTCAGATACCACACGAGTCAGTTCGTCCTTTAAATAATACGTTGTTAACAAAACATTATAATATTTAACAAGAGAGATGATAATATTAAATTAGTATGACTTACCACTGGCACCACTTCGCTGTTAGCTCGTCGTCGTGGATGCGGTATGTCTACATATCCACCAATTGTTAAATCTCGGAGATTCGGAAAACTGTTGCTGCGTGGGAATTTCGCCGGAGGTTCTTCGGACTCGTATTCATCTACATATACTCTCTAACAAGAAAATAACAAACGTTGAATAAATAATCAATATTAAAAATAATAATCGGTGCTTAGAAAATTTTATTAATGATATTAATAAAGATAATAAAAATTTATAATTGATAATTTACATACTATATTGAGTTGTTATATTAATTATTAAAATATCTCAATTCAAAATACGACGAATGCAACTGGAGTAATCAAAAAGTAAATTATTCAACATGACATAAAATAATTTCATATTTATTGATAATCGAATTTTCTTAGGATTTAAAATAAACGTATAAAAAAAATAAAAAAGGATGAAATAAAAATCTTCATAAAAATGTATGAAAATATTTTCGCAAATTTGGTAGTTGCTTAAGGTCCAACCAGGTCACTTACTTTGACCTTAGAGAGCTGTAACTCGTTGAAAACGCGGCGCAGGTAGTTGACCTCTTTATTAAACTCGTTCCAAATCTTGCTCTGCGTAAGCTTGAGATTCATCGCCAGTTTGTGCTCGAGCCTTGTAATCTTCTTGCTGCGCATACCACGAGCGATGAATGTCATTATCATGACGATGTAGCCCAACCCGAAGGAGATCCAGCAAATTAGGAATATCTTGTACAGCATGAAGAATGGACCGTTCCCCTTCGTATTGTCCTGGCCTGCGAGATTCAAACAGAGATTAACAATAGCGAATATTTTCTTCATAGTGCAACAATTTATTATTTTCTCCATTAATTTCCATTTGTGCTTGATTTTAATTGATTTTGAAAACATTTATTTTTGAATAATTTTCATTTGAAAGTTAATGAATAGATGTTTCAATTGTACATTTATTGCTGATCGATCTTTATCTGTTTAATTTTTATATTTCATATTTTATTTTTAATTACATTTTTTATTAGCTGTGCAATTGTATATGCAAACGCGCTACTTTACTTTTTAATTTATGGCGTATGGAAAGTATTACTTACGTGTTAAGATCTGCTTCCCATGTGAGCATGTAATGATTGAAAACATTCATCTTTTAATTAGGCGGAACAAACAAGCTCATATTATAGATTGTATACTTCAAAGCGATTAATGTATATGATAAGAATACAAGTGAATACCGTTTCACTATTATTAATCAAGAAAGTTACCGAAATATCGAATGTATCTATAGTCTCAAGTGACTCGATATTATCTAATCAAATAAAAAAATGTCATTAATTCTGAATTTCATGTTATCACTGAAAATAAATACTTCGTATGATGTAGCAGACTTGTATTTACTCATTTTCGAAAATAGATCGAATAGATAGTAAATATCAATTTTTTTCACTTCTTAGAATCTAAGCTCGTAAAACTTCTTATAGTTTTCTATATCATACTCAGGTAAAATAA